ATCAAAGTATCTGAATATGTTTTCCAAGGCCTTAATTGTTACTTCATTGCTGGTTCCTTTACAGGGAGTCCCCAGTTTAAGAATGAGTTTCGTTCTCAAGATCTGTCCTTAAGTCAAATTTGTATGTAAGTCAGAATGGTATTATTATATAATACTATATAAGTAGTATTGTGTAATTAACTCGAACCATTGTGTATTTAACTCAAATTTTGCTACAATAGGCTCCATTCTTAACTATGGATCATCCATAAGCCGGGCTTTCTTAACCTGGAGACTACCTGCTGATCAATCCTAAAAGGCAAATTGCTGGTTCCTTTACAGGGAGTCCCCAGTTTAAGAATGAGTTTCGTTCTCAAGATCTGTCCTTAAGTCAAATTTGTATGTAAGTCAGAATGGTATTATTATATAATACTATATAAGTAGTATTGTGTAATTAACTCGAACCATTGTGTATTTAACTCAAATTTTGCTACAATAGGCTCCATTCTTAACTATGGATCATCCATAAGCCGGGCTTTCTTAACCTGGAGACTACCTGCTGATCAATCCTAAAAGGCAAAAGGTATCCACTACTTCAATACCTTAGTTGTAAGGTCTAAGGTCTAAGAATGGGTGCTGTCCCTGTTGTCATTAGTTTGGTCTTATTTATATGTAATGGTAGTCCCATTTTTTTTCACTGAAATCCTTGACTTTCATTAGTCAAACTTGCGATTATTTGTATTTTCAGCCATCAAAGTAGTGCCATCAGTATAGCATAGGTCAGTGATATTTCTTATCCCAATTTTAAAACCATGTTCATTTTCTTCCAATCCAGCTTCCCTTAATATATATTCAGCCTATAGATTGAATAAAGAAGGGGATAATATATAGCTGCCTCACTTCTTTGGTAACCTGGAGCTATTTGATTTGCTATTTTCTGTCCCTATTGTGGCTTCCAGACCTGTTATAGGTTTCACATGAGGACAGTGAGATATTCTGGAATTCCTATATTGCTGTACCTGTACTGTATATATTTTTCATAATATCCCAGTAGGAAGCTGCAGAAATGCGAAACATGTTTGTGACATTATACCAGGGTAAAATTCTAGGGAGAATGAGGAACTCTGATTCTTGCTGGCTTTCCATCAACATAACATCTGAACTGCTCAGCCTCTACAAACTTTGATAATAGTGAGACACCAGCTCAAGTTCCAGTATTGACTGGCCTTCATAACACCTTCTCAGAAGCCTAGGCTGCTCTATAGCCACACCAGAGAACTTATTCAATTTTTTTTTCCCCAAGAAAAAATTAGCCCAAGCCACTTTTACAACAATGTAAATTTACAGCATTGACAGGAAGAATATGAGAGTAATTTCTAAACAGGGAACAGGCAAGAAAACAAACCAAGACAGTTTTGTTCTTGCTGGTATGTATGTTACTAATGGAATTCTGTCCAAATGCCTCTTCCAATCTGTTACTACTACTACTATTTGAAGGTTATATTCAGGGGCCTGCTGAGGTGGTGAGAGTCTGTCTGCTAGAAGGCCTTCTCAGTACTGTTCAGTGTAAAATGGAGCAATCGGGACCCACAAAGCACTGTATATAAAACTGTCAGGCCTAGCCCAAGGAACTCCAGGAG